TATTATCATTACGTTATTCGTAATGATGTAATATCATAATTCCAATATTTCATATGTGTAGTAAGTAATGGTATTCATGCTTTGAGTAACTACAGTATTATTGGTACTTATCCATATGTATTAACCCGTGTATGGAACTGCATTGATCTTGTATGAATTGTGTGAGATGTATAGTAAATTATTATATTTATTGTTACAGGAAGTCGGTTTATCAATCTCATGCTACAGAAATAAACAACCTCACACCCCAGCAGAGTGTTGGTAATCTTTGCCTCACCTTGACCCTGCTATAATCGTATCCCAATTGCGTAGATTAATGCTCTTGCTGTTGATCACTGCATTGTCTTGTCAAGACGCAATTATTTACAGACCGCCGTAGTGTTTGGTTCTACGTTCAACAGTTTTAGGTATGACTGATTGATTGATTTTTAACGCTGCAATCAGCAAAATTCCAGCTACATGGCGGCGGTCTGTAAATAATCAAGTCTGGACCCGACAATCCAGTGATCAACAGCATGATCATCGATCTACTCATTTGGAATACGATGACGTGTGTCAGCGGGCCTGACCAAAAGATCCCGTTAATCGCCTCTTACAAGCATGCGTTTACTTGTCTTCACGTTTTAATAGCACGTCTAACTTCAGAACTTTATGTTTCTCCATAAAGCACCACTAATGGTACAAAAGCAATGCATTCAAGTGTAATATTGCCAAGCACAATTCTCTTTAGATATGTCCTTATTTCGTTCTTCTTTGAATACCTCGACGGAATGGAAATCGACTGCAGTTGCTGGTTTACATATTACTCTAGTTCGCTTTCTGGAGGTCCCTGACAAAGGCCTGCATGAACAGGGAAATTGTTACTTGTGGTTATGTATCTTGAAATACAGTATGAAATCTTGGACACAACAAATATTTGCTGGGAGATGGAAGTTGTTTGACAAATTGATATTGGTTACCTTTCGGGCTAGTTAAATTTGCGCTCCTCAGTTTGTGTAAAATCACCCCCTTAAGCTGTCGTTCAACACTTAGGGCAATCCATTCGTTATGAGAATGTTCAGGTGCGAGAAATACTCCGGTAATTGCTCTATACAGCCATCATAAATTTTGTACAATACGTTTATGTATATCGAATTACTTTCAATTACAATATTATGCCATATTTGCGATTCCTTTGGCAATTTGAAGACTTAATGGCACTCTCTTCACTCGTATACCATGAAGCTGGATGTTGGAGATTTTAACTCTGAGGCAAGCTTAAGGAAAGCCTATAACTTTACAATATTCAAACCCCCGTATTTCAGAACCATAGAGTAGATAAGTACAATCGATCGGCAGATCAACAGTTCTTGAGAAAGCATACTTCAGTAAAGAAATGAACCCCGTATAGTCCATTTATATTGCGCATTTATCCATGCACAATGCAAGCTCAAAGCGTGACATATCAGACAATCCAGTGATCAACAGCATGAGCAATTAGGATACGATGACACGTGTCACAAGTCAGCGAGCCTGATCATCGATCCCGTTAGTCGCCTCTTACGACAAGCATGGGTTACTGAAGATCAATTCTAACGCAGATCTTCACGGGTGACGTACACCCAACAGCTGACGTCGATATGAATGTTTTCACACTGCAAGTGTGTTGGCTTGTTATGATGTACGAAGGTATTTTGTCTGATTTTGCAAGTAATTCTGTATCTAGGTGCACGTCATACGGCTGCAACTATACTGAACCACAAAAGAAATGTCGCACCGACAGCGGTTTCTTAAAGCAGACACTTTAATTCACTCTAATTAACAACCAAAACAGAGGATTGAGTTCAAACTTGACAATTATGGTGAACACATTTTCGGTAATCACATTTAGAGTTCACACAAACAAAATCACCAAACATGGTACCATTCAGATACCCCAAAGTGTGTGTGGCCTCGTGCACATCGATGAAAGCGTTGCATCGTCTGTACATGGAATGAATTAGCCGGTTGATGGAGGCCATAGGCACTTGGGTCCATACTCTGTGAAATGCCTGATCGAGTCCAGCCGCAGTTGTCGGCCTTGGGTGGAGGTCATTCAGCCCTCTTTGAATCTCTGTTCTCTGTTCTATTGGACTCAAATCAAGACTGAGTGCATGCTATTGTAGGGTTTGGATGCCATGTTGTCTTAGGAAATCCAAGGCTACTCTGGCAGTGTGGGCACGAGCGTTGTCTCGCTGAAAGATGTGATTTCTGTAACGTCCAAACTGTGGTACAACGTGGGGTCTTATGACTTGACCAGTATAACGAGCAGCTGTCACGTCATTTCCTCATCCTGGACCGAGATTCTGGAACACCACAGTGCTAACTATCTGGTTCAGACCGATTGCACCCCAAACCATTATTCTTGGACCACCCCATGGGTCTCTTTCAACAATACTCTTGGAAAACAGTTCTCCACGCCTTCACCATCCTCTCACTCTGCCATCGACTGTCGAAACACAATATCGGCTTTCATGAGAAAAAAAGCACACTTTTCCATTGTCGATAACGAGTTGTTGCCCATTGCAGTCGGTTTTAGCGAAGATGAGCGGTGAGGACAGAACTACGATATGGTCTGTGACAGCAGAGGTTTCTCCCGCGCAAACGTCGACGCACTGTATCGGCACTGATGGGTTTGTTGTAAGTCCCAATGGTATGGCGTGCTGTTTCCGCCTCTCTGGGGAAGCGATCCTGCAGATGGTGTCGGTCTTGACGTTATGATGTTACTGAAGGTCGCCCACTGCAGTCGGTAAACTGTCCTAACATGAACATTAAAATGATTGGCTACGCTCCGTGCAGTCTGGCCAGCTTGCAATCGTCTTCGTTCCTCTGATCTCTCGTAAGTCGTGCCATGGCCATTGTGTCAAAACAAAAATGATTTCAGGCCAGTTTGGGACTCGCTGCCATTGCTAGAGTTGTCACGATATGCACGTGCATTTTCATTTTCACGAATGTCATACGGAAACTTTTACCGCGTCTGCCATTTTAGGTGCGTTTGGTTGATATGCTTTTTCATCAGAAAACACACTGATGTTGGTAATAACTATGAAATTGGATTGAAAAACATGTTGATAAAAAGATACAATCTTAACAAAAACACCAGTTTGTATGAATAAAATCTTGCATTTGGTTTTGAAAACCGACGATTCTTTATTGGTTCAGTTTATTACAATTCACGTCGTAACAGGCTGAGATGGCCGCCGCATTTCGTAATTATTCTTGCTTACTTGAGACTATACACATGTTTGCACCGAGCAGAACGACCTTGACGTAGTTGGGTGAGTCCTGCGTTGTCATCTTGTTCCTTCGGTTCAATACAAGTCAGTGGTCGCACGATGGAAAGGTCGGTGTCACCACCTTGTCCATCCTCAGCAACATGTCCATCTCTTATATCTGACGATGAACCAAACGTTCACTGAGCGTTTAAATACAAGATTGTGTTCTGCCTAAAGTACTGAAGAGCTTGCTGAAGCCACTATTTGGACTATATGCAGTATCTCTAAAGGCCATTATTACCATGTCCACTAGCGAGATACAGAAAGATTGATCTGTGAAGTCATATTGACGTCTATGTGTCACAGCGCCAGTTGGTCATATTTGTCAAAGCTTTCAGAAGTTTCTGGTCCAGAACGTTCCCCAACATTCTGGGTTGGACTACGCTAGATATTTTGACTGTTCTAGAAACATCTACACGTCTTGACTCTGAATGTGAACAGAGTAACATCCCTCCACACTGCTGAATCTCACCAGAAACAATGTAAAAAGGGAAGGGGATCGCAGTGTTCACCTGCTAATGTTACTGTAAGTAACTGGCAATGTTTGTTCCTGTATTGCAGAGTAGAGTCCGTATCCGCAGACTTGCGGGTTATGTGTTGATGACGCTGCGTTGGGGATTGACCAGTTAGTTGATTGTAAAGTGTTATTTCATGTCGCTGAGTCGGTTCTAGCCTTGGTCAGCCTTATGGTTCAACACAGTGAACTGGCTTCTCACACGCTGGTTTCTCATACCGAACTGAAGAACTGGGTTGGATTACCTACATGGGTATAATGTGTAAAACCCATTTCTGGTGTAAACGCGGTGATATTGCTGGAATATTGCTGAAAGCGGCGTAAAACCATACTCGCTCACTCACTCATACAGAATCTTATTTGTTGAGATTATTCTGGTAAAACACCCTGGTATTGGTGCAGTAACTTCATTTATCACATACCTATGAATACATAATATGGACCATTTTGCACATACAATACTGGCTCTCGGAATATGTCCCGATCCATATTGACCTCCCGGGACGAAAATCTATATCAGCCGTATCGTCTGGCTACTAAAAGGTACGGAATGAATACACACAAACGCTCGAAACTTCAATAGACGGAGCATAGTCTATTTAAGAGGAACGTCCCCTCATGTGGCATATGATAAAACGGTTATGCCATGACAGTTTCCCTCTCGTCAGGTATATCAGCCAGAGACTACGCCGAGGCCTGATATGGTAGTCTCGGGTTGATATGACTGGAGAAAGGGAAACTTTCTTATCATAAACTTTGTATTACACATTTATCATAACCTTTTATATAACAACCCACTCACTCGGCCACTTTTCACACCGTAAGGTTCACATCTTCAACAACCTAAGGGCGTACTAAGAAGTGTCAAACGGGATTAAATGGTCAGTCTGACCTTATGCAGGTCATTCACCCTGTCATTCACCCTGTCATTCACCAGGTCATTCAGCAGATGGATGCTAATTTCAACTATCACTGGATTACCTGGTCCATACTCACATACTTCACTGTCCATATTGTTGAAATATTGTTGGATATGGCTTTTACACAACCCTGATTTCACACAGGTGTACATTTTCTCCACATCTGGTAACCAAGCACAGAATACCTTATCCTATACATTATCCTTTTGACTGACAGTTGCGACACACTACTGGTAATGAAAGATGTTTCCAATATTAATCACAACAAATGAATTACAGTATAGATAGGAATTTAATCCGTCAAGAAGTATATATATACTGCATACAAATCTTTAAGAATGTAATAATGATCAGAATAGAACAAATGTTCTCTGCATAAGTAGATCTAAAACCAATATTACAAACAGAAAGTGTGAACAGGTCTTAAAGTAAATTCCCAGGATGTCCGGAGGGGAAACAATCCAGATTTAAAAGAGGAAGTCACGTAGAAGTCTATCAAGTTGTAAGCATATTTACATGAAGACAGTAGGTTTGTAGGTCGGTAAACCCGTTACTCAAAGACTGTGGTGATAAAATCAACCAGCGGTCTTCTTCCTTCCTCTGCCTTTGATGACGACAATGACCACTGTGATGACAAGCACAAGGATGATGAGTCCAGCACCTCCGACAGCAGCGACGATGATAACAAGTTCATTGGACCAGGCGTCGGGGGGCTGTAGAGCAGGACACACAGAACCATACATATCTGTATTACATGAATATACGCACATTGTTATAATGTCAAATTCATATTCATCATCATTTATTTGAACCTACATTTAGAACAAATTATTTATAAGAAGCGTATATAAGTATCTCCTTCCATCAATAATGTGAATGGTGATTTAGGAGGACATAAAACAATCTATTTCTACTGGATTTACTTGGTTGACGAACCTGAGTTGTTGGCTTGCAGGACTGAAATGGCTTCGTCAGTCCTGGGGCGAGATCAAACACACACTGACCGGTGTTGCTGGCGAGGTCGACAGCGATGATGTAGACAAGTGCTTTACAACAGTCGCCCCTGCCAGAAAACACACTTTTTTTTATTATTTATGATTAAAACGTGGAGTCACTTCATTAGTGGGAGTATTTCTTAGAGTGAGGAGTTGGCATTGATGACAAGTGACCGGTCATGACTGCTACTGAAAATATATTTATTCCTGTGAAACAATCTAGACAAAAGGCAACCCTTCTTACCCATGTGAAACAGATTGCCAATAATTGAGTTTTGACATGCTTACGTGATTGTAGCAGATATGGTGCCGTTATAACCAAGGGTGAAATTGTCGTGTCGGAACGATCCTGTTGCATTAATAGAAGCGGTCAGTTGGTAGAGTCCAAATCCATCGTCTTTGATTTCAGCAGCCCCTGACCACTTGTACTGGCTGCACACACAAGGGTCAAGCATTGTGACGTCACAACTACCTGTCACCGAGGTGACGTTGCAGAAAGGGATGGTGTCATCTTCTTCCTGAAAATGCATGTAACCCTAAACGTCTCGAAAACATTTTCGACGGGTGTCTTTCTTCCGACAGCTACAGCCGACATACGTCATTATTCTGTTGCGCTTACACTGGCAGAAATCTGCGTATACTGACAATTATCTGTTAGTGCATATACTGACAATTATCTATAGGCCCTTACATTGACTTACACTAACAAACATATGTTGGTGCTTACATTGACAAATATCTGTTGTTGCTTACACTAACAAACGTCGGTTGGTGATTACACTGACAAACATCTGTTGGTTCTTACACTAACAAACATCTGTTGGTGCTTACACTGACAAACATCTGTTGGTGCTTACACTGACAAACATCTGTTGGTCCTTAAACTGACAAACATCTGTTGGTGCTTACACTGACAAACATCTGTTGGTGCTAACACCGACAAACATCTGTTGGTGATTACACTGACAAACATCTGTTGGTGCTTACACTAGCAAACATCTGTTGGTGCTTACACCGACAAACATCTGTTGGTGCTTACACTAACAAACATCTGTTGGTCCTTACACTGACAAACATCTGTTGGTCCTTAAACTGACAAACATCTGTTGGTGCTTACACTGACAAACATCTGTTGGTGCTTACACCGACAAACATAGGTTGGTGCTTACACTGACAAACATCTGTTGGTGATTACGCCGACAAACATCTGTTGGTCCTTACACTGACAAACATCTGTTGGTCCTTAAACTGACAAACATCTGTTGGTGCTTACACTGACAAACATCTGTTGGTGCTTACACTGACAAACATCTGTTGGTGCTTACACTGACAAACATCTGTTGGTGCTTACACTGACAAACATCTGTTGGTCCTTACACTGACAAACATCTGTTGGTGCCTTACACTGACAAACATCTGTTGGTGCTTACACTGACAAACATCTGTTGGTGCTTACACTGACAAACATCTGTTGGTGCTTACACTGACAAACATCTGTTGGTGCTTACACCGACAAACATATGTTGGTGCTTACACTAACAAACATCTGTTGGTGATTACACCGACAAACATCTGTTGGTCCTTACACTGACAAACATCTGTTGGTCCTTACACTGACAAATATCTGTTGGTCCTTAAACTGACAAACATCTGTTGGTGCTTTTACTAACAAACATCTGTTGGTGCTTACACCGACAAACATCTGTTGGTGCTTACACTGACAAACATCTGTTTGTGATTACGCCGACAAACATCTGTTGGTGCTTACACTGACAAACATCTGTTGGTGCTTACACTGACAAACATCTGTTGGTGCTTACACTGACAAACATCTGTTGGTGCTACACCGACAAACATACACCGACAAACATCTGTTGGTGCTTACACCGACAAACATAGGTTGGTACTTACACTGACAAACATCTGTTGGTGCTTGCACCGACAAACATATGTTGGTGCTTACACCGACAAACATAGGTTGGTGCTTACACCGACAAACATCTGTTGGTGCTTACACTGACAAACATCTGTTGGTGCTTACACTAACAAACATCTGTTGGTGCTTACACTGACAAACATCTCTTGGTGCTTACACTGACAAACATCTGTTGGTCCTTACACTGAGAAACATCTCTTGGTGCCTACACTAACAAATATCTCTTGGTGCTTAAACTAACAAGCAAACATTGGTGCTTAGACTGACAAGCGTCTGTTGGTCATGACGTTGAAAAACCGTTCCTGCAGGTCTCACACTTACCCTGACCACACGCTCTTCTGTGGAGACAATTACGACATCGAACTGGAATTCGTCCCCAGTAGCGGCAGATGCAGACGCAGAAACGGTCACAGTGCTGGTGAGAGTGTGAGAAGTGACATTAGTACTGACAATGTTACTTGAATCAATAAAAGCCATAACTACGCTCAAAATTTGTAAAAACTAAAGTGTAAATTGCACATCATATCAATGTTGACTATCAAGAGTAAACCCAAATCAATGTCTTTACATTGAAATCAACAACATATGCTGCATCTTTAGAATTGACGCTTTACATTTGCGTCTGTGGAAGTTTAAGCTTCAAAGGTCTGTGTTCTCAGTCTGATATTGTCACATACAGTAGGACATGTACCTGATCAACTTCACTGCTGGCCCTAACATTGGCTGGTCGTGTTCTCAGTCTGATATTGTCACGTGGTGTGGGACTTGTACCTTATCAACTCCACTGCTGGCCTAACATTGGCTGGTCGTGTTCTCAGTCTGATATTGTCACATACAGTAGGACATGTACCTGATCAACTTCACTGCTGGCCCTAACATTGGCTGGTCGTGCTCTCAGTCTGATATTGTCACATACAGTAGGACATGTACCTGATCAACCTCACTGCTGGCCTAACATTGGCTGGTCGTGTTCTCAGTCTGATATTGTCACATACAGTAGGACATGTACCTGATCAACCTCACTGCTGGCCTAACATTGGCTGGTCGTGCTCTCAGTCTGATATTGTCACATACAGTAGGACATGTACCTGATCAACCTCACTGCTGGCCTAACATTGGCTGGTCGTGCTCGCAGTCTGATATTGTCACATATAGGACATGTACCTGGTCAACCTCAGTGCTGACCTACCACTGGGTTGTCGTGTTCTGATATTGTCACGTGGTGTAGGACATATACCTGATCAACCTCACTTTTAACCTACCATTGGGGCGTCGTGATCTATCTGATATTGTCACGTGGTGGGGACATGTACCTGATCAACCCTGCCACCGGCCCAGCTTGCAGTGCAAAGTCTCCAGATGCACTCTGCCCAGGCTCAAGCATGTACTCCAGTGCTATGTTTGTCGATGCAAAGTTCTGATCGTCTCTGATTGTGACAGTTACATTGGATCCAGCGTCACCCTTGTTGACAACCAGGAATGGTACTGACAACTGTTCGTTGATGTACAGACTTCCTGTAATAAGACGAAGAATCATATTGTTCAGCTGGTTGTTGTACTAACATCAACATCGCTGATAAATTTCAAAGCTATGCCATTTATTGTCTCTTACCATTGAGGGGAAGAAGTCTCAGATCGATGCTGACAGGGACAATTCTTCTTGCCCGAAGACGCAGAAATTGGTTTCCCTCCTTGTCAGTGCCTTCTATTGATATTTGGAATGCCTGTATCATCACAAAAGGAGCCATCATATTTCAACTGAGGCTGTTGTTAGTGAGTGGGCTGGGTTTAAGGCGTTTCAGCTTAATGGGACAGGAAAACCAGATGTTATACCAGTGTCGGGCATTTTCCAATTTCGTGAAACCCGCAAACATGGGTTTGGTGGTTACAAACATGAATAGGATTCGAACCCAAGATTATAAGTTTCTGGTGGACTCAAGGAACGCTACCCTGCACAGCCAAGTGTGCCGCCATGGACAACTGGGCCACCCATGCCCCCACTGAACATGTAGTAAACAAACAGGAAATACACCTTCCCAAGCTGATCATATGTCATGATGAGTGGATCATTCATAAAGATCGCATACTGTGCCCAGGGCTTAGTGATAAGATAAGATAATGATTTATTATCAAGTGGGAAATTCTTTGGGGGAGCGCCGAGGGGGCACGGGTGTCTCAGCTGTCTAGGACATGTCTGTCATGTGTACAATGATCAAGTATCAACTGATCCAGGGTTTTACCTCCACAGGCAGTGAGAACGTGGTCCTGTAGGTCAGTGAATCAGCTCGTGACGCCACCTGTATCAGTCCGCCATGTCTTGCCAGCTCAACTCCCCTGAGTGTCAGTTAAGATAACCTTGTCTACTGTGCCAACATCATCTGACGAAGGAATGCCAAGGATGACTGTGGCATTTTCACCTGTTAATAAAACAGAGTCTTCAGCTAATAGTACTGATACAATTTAGTTAAAGTTGCATGTAGATCAAACAGGAGACTACTTAACAACACAATTATACATAGTGCCAACTTCCATCAGTCTTTATACGGCACTGAGGCACTGGTAAAACATTTTAAATTAAGATACCGATAGGATATTTTACCCGAGTTGTACAATGAGTCGGTTACCTGAAAGTGTAGGGGACTTGGGAGGTGTGTCTTGTCACTGTCATGCTTGACCACTTACAAACCTGCTATAGGTCGTCCGCTGATCTCATACTCAAAGCCAGAGATAGGGTCCAGCTTCACAAAGGTTGTAGATACGTCCAGGGTACTCTGAGCTGTCA